GGTGAAGGGAAATCCTCCCTGTGGGCAGAACTTTGAGCAGTGCACCTGGTTGTTCAGCTTGCTTGGAAGGAGAAAAGGCCATATGTGCAATTGTATACTCGTTCATGGGCTGTGGCCGATGGTTCGTCTGTGTTGTTGGGGACTTAGAAGGAACATGATTGGAAAATTGGAGACAAGGAGGTATGGGTAAGAGGCATGTGGATAGACCTCTCTGAACGGGCCAAAGAAGGGAAGCTATTTGTGTCTCATGTGAATGTTCACCAAACGGTGACCACAACAGAAGAGGATTTTAACAATCAAGTGGATAGGATAAAGCGTTCTGCAGACACCAGTCAGCCTCCTTCCCTAGCCACTCCGGTCATTGCTCAATGGGCTTATGAACCAAGTGGCCATGGTGGCAGAGATGAAGGTTATGCACGGGCTCAGCAACATGGGCTTCCACTCACAAGGCCAACTTAGCTATAGCCACAGCTGAGTGCACAATCTGCCAGCAGCAGAGACCAACACTGAGACCCCAATATGGCATCATTCTTAGGGGTGATCAGCCAGCAACCTGGAGGCAGGCTGATTACATTGGACCACTTCTATCATGGAAAAGGCAACATTTTGTTCTTACTGGGATAGACATTCTGGATACGGATTTGCCTTCCCTGCATGCAATGCTTCTGCCGAAACTACCATCTATGAACTTACAGAATGCCTTATCTACTGTCATGGTATCCCACACAGCATTGCCTCGGATCAAGGGCCTCACTTCACAGCAGCAATGGGTCCATGCTCATGGAATACACTGGTCTTACCATGTTCCCCCATCATCCTGAAGCAGGTGGCTTGATAGAACAATGGAATGGACTTCTAAAGACACAATTACAGTGCCAGCCTGGTGGCAATACCTTGCAGGGTTGGGGCAATATTCTCCAGGAGGCTGTGTATGCTCTAAACCAGCCTCTGATACGTAGTACTTTTTCTCCCATAGATGGGATTCATGGGTCCAGGAATCAAGGGGTAGAAATGGGAGTGGCACCACTCACTATTACCACTAGTGATCCACTAGAAAAATTTTTGCTTCCTGTCCTGGTGGCGCAGTGGTTAAGAGCTAGGCTGCTAACCAAAAGGTCGGCAGTTCAAATCCCCCAGCCACTCCTTGGAAACCCTATGGGGCAGTTCTACTCTGTCCTATAGGGTTGCTATGAGTCGGAATCGACTCGATGGAAACAAGTTGGTCCCTGGGACCCTCCAACTATAAGGAATTGATCTAGGGAAACAAAAAGATAAGCAGAAAATCTCTGCATTTTTGAAAATTAAGAAACACACTTCTACATAACCCATTGATCAAAAAAAAATTAAATCACAATAAAAATTAGAAAATACTTTAAGCTGAATAGAAAATACTACATGTCAAAATGTGTGGAAACAACTTCCAACTTCTAGTTATATTGAAGTTACATCAGACTGGCTCTCTTGCCAATAACAATTATAAATGAAGGTGGAGCAGGAACATTGAGGAAAACTCTCTAGAAATCCAGCCCCTACTCCAAGCACAAGGTAAGGCAAGAGGAATTTGAAGCTGATAATGCACTGAAGATAACCATAGCAACTTCAAAATGCATATAAATAATTAGAAGAAAAACAGTCTAATTTAAAAATAGACAAAAGATTTGAACATGTTACCGAAGAAAAGATACAGGCAACATATAAGCACATCCAAAGATCATCAACATCATTAATCATTAGGAAAATGGAAATTAAAACCACAGTGAGATACTGTTACATACCTACTAGAATGGCTAAAGTTAAAAAAAAAAAAAAAAAGGACAATACCAAGTCTTAACTAGAACTGAGCGACTGGAACTCTCAATATTGCTAGAGGGAATGTAAAATAGTACAGCCACCTTGGAAAACAATTGAGCAGTTTAATATAAATTTAAATATACCCTTACCATATGACTAAGCAATCCCATTTCTGGGTATTTACCCAAGTGAAATAAAAACATGTTTGCACAAAAACCTGTAAGCAACTAAAAATATATATAAACTAGACTGAATCAAAATTAAAAACTTTTGTGCTACAAATAAACCCATTGACAAAGTGAAAAGACAACCCACAGAAAAGGAAAAATATTTCTGGAAATCTTACATCTGATATGGGACTTGTATCCAGAATACATAAAGAACTCCTACCATTCAATAAGCAGACAAATAGCCTAATTTAAAAATGGGAAAAGGATTTTAAGTAGACATTTCTCAAAAGTAGGTATACGATGTCCAAAAAGCACATGAAGAGATGCTCAGCATCGTTTAGCCATCAGGGAAATGCAAATCAAAATCATAATAAGATACCACTTCACACCCACTGTTGTTGTCAGGTGCTATCAGGTTGGTTACAACTCGTAGCGACCCTATGTACACCAGAATAAAACACTACCGGGTCCTGCACCATCCTCACAGCAGTAGGTATGCTTGAGACCATGGTTGCAGCCACTGTGTCAATTCATCTAGTTGAGGGTCTTCCTCTTTTTCGCTGACCCCCTACTTTACCAAGCATGATGTCCTTCTCCAGGGACTGATCCTTCCTGATAACATGTCCAAAGTATGTGAGATGAAGTCTTGCCATCCTTGCTTCTAAGGAGAATTCTGGCTGTACTTCTTCCAGGAAAGATTTGTTTGTTCTTTTGGCAGTCCACGGCATATTCAATATTCTTCGCCAACACCAACAGATTGAAAACACCATGGCTTGGGTCGAGCACACCTTAGTCTTCAGGGTGATATCTTTGCTTTTTAACACTTTAAAGAGGTCTTCTGCAGCAGATTTGCCCAATGCAATGCATCTTTTGATTTCTTGACTGCTGCTGCCATGGGTGTTGATTATGGATCCAAGTAAAATGAAATCCTCAATAACGTCAATCTTTTCTCAGTTTATCATGATGTTACTTATTGGTCCAGTTGTGAGGACTTCTGTTTTATGATAAGGTGCAATCCATACTGAAGGTTGTAGTCTTTGATCTTCACCAGTAAGTGCTCAAGTCCCCTTCACTTTCAGCAAGCAATGTTGTGTCATCTGCATAGCACAGGTTGTTAATGAGTCTTCTTCCAATCCTGATGCCATGTTCTTCTTCATATAGTCCAGTTTCTCAGATTATTTGCTCAGCACATAGATTGAATAAGTATGGTGAAAGGCTACAACCCTGACACACACCTTTCCTGACTTTAAACCGCGCAGTAGCCCTTTTTTCTTTAGGAATGACTGCCTCTTCATCTATGTACAGGTTCCTCATGAGCACAATTAAGTGTTCTGGGATTCCCATTCTTCGAAATGTTATCCATAATTTGTTCTGATCCACACAGTCAAATACCTTTGCATAGTCACACCCACTAGGATTGCTATTATAAAAGAATTTTAAAAAAAGACAATAGCAAGTGTTGGCAAGGATGTGGTGAAACAGGAATCCTCATACATTGCTGGTGGAAAATGAAAACTACTAGTAGGGAAGTGAGTAAGTAAATAGCAGCATATCCATTGTAGCAGAATAAAGAGTGCACAGACAGAAAGATCTCAGCTACAGGCTGGGGAGAAAGCTGCAATGGAGCTAGCTGTGCACCTCAGATGAGGAGTCTGAAGGGTTCAGCCCTAAAGTGGTCTGCGAAGTGTGGACAGTCAGTGGCAGGGGAGTGATGCTGCTTTGACAGTACCAGATCTGGAGACGGTGAGGCACTGATTCTTGGCCCCTGCCTTTCCCCAGGGGGTGCTCCATCTGCTGTACCCCAGGCAGTCCTAGGACCCCATACCCTGCTGGGCTGTGCTCAAAGCTCTCAGGTGGCGAGGGTGGGGATTTAACATCCTCCCTAATCTTCATTAATCTTTCCCCCTTTAGTCACCTAAAACACACATACAATTTAAATAAATCTTCCAAATACAGATTCAAAACAAAGTCCCTAATGTGTCACCTTCACCCCTAAAATGAACTGGGGACACTTATAAAGAAATCCCAGGGTTGGCAATTTGGGGCAACTGGGCTCAAGCCCTCCTTCTGCAGGCTGTCTCCTCCCCAGGAGGCCAAGGAGAACAGTCACAGGAGGGCAGCTGTCCCCCAGAACTGCAGCTCAGCAAATAGCTGCAGGGCCTGAGGGTGGAAAGAGCCGCCCTAGGAGCCAGAAGACCTGGCTTCTGATCCGAGTTCAGCTCCTTACTCACTCTGGACCCGATAGCAAGTTATTGCTTCTCTCTGGGCCTCAGTTTCTTTTATTTAATGGGGCTGAAAGTGTAAAACGATGTTCTCTAGGGCCTCGGTGGGGAATCCTTTAAGATAAGGCTAGTAGAAGGGCTGGGCACAGTGCCAGACACATAGCAGGTGTCTGTGAGCGAGTCCTCCAACCGTATGGGCCCCCGTGCCCTCTTAACAACAGGAGGACTGTGGCCACAAGGCCGCAGGATTCAGAGCTCCCGGGGCCAAGGCGCTGAGTAGGAAGAGGCGGCACCACGGGGAGGGGCGATGCCAGGCAGGGGCGGGGCTCGAACCTGCGGACCCTGACGGCAGCCTGCAGCTCCACCCCAGCCGGGCGGTCACGTGGCGCGGTCACGTGGCCTGACCCGGAACCGCTGCAGCGGGCTGGCTGGGTGGTGTTCGGCCACGATCCGGTACGTGGGCCCTATGACCAGCCCGAGCTCCGCCCTCAGCTGCCCCTTCTGTGGGTGCCGGGGCTTCCTCCGGGACCCGGCGCGGCCCGCCCAAAAATGAAGGAGGGGCCGTATGGAAGTCTCCGGGAGTCGTTCTACCAGCCTGGCCAACTCAGGCCCTGGGATAGCGGCTCGAGCCGGCCGGCTGCTTGTGGCCGTGGGCCAGTCGCTTCACTCCTCGAAGCCAAAGTTTCTCCATTTACCAAGTGGAGCGGGTGCCACGAGCCGGGCCTTCCTACCAGGGTCGCCGTGAGGTTTGGGGGGCGGGGGAGTTGTGGGGGTGAAACTGCTACAAAATCTGTAGAGTGCCGGGCAAACGGGGGGCGGGACGGGGGGCTGCGGTAGGGAAGTACAAACTCGCTCCTCACCTGGAGTCGCTCCGTGCCTCCAGCCCAGGAGGGCCGAGGCCGAGGCTGCGGGAGTGGGCCCCAAGACCGAGCTTCCTGGAGGCACGAGCAGCGGAGGGGCGTGAGGGCCTGGGATCCAGACGGTAAACTTCGGCACTGGGCGTGTCCCCAAGGCTGGCCCCGGAGCATCCGGAGTCCCCTTTGCCAGTGAGTCCTGAGTCCCATTTTTAGGGCAGGACACGCAGGAGACCAGGGAAAACACCAAGTGACGTGGGTCAGGTTCTTCCAACAGCCCTTTGAAAAATAAGTAGAGCTTAAATGTCCACTAAAAAGCAGTCCTATTTTTCCTGGGAATGTGGCGTTAAGGCCAGTCATGCCAGTGGTGTAGCAAGTCTTGGTGAGGTCAGAAAGATGCTGAACCTCTAGGAGAGATGGCATCTCTTTCTCTCTTGTCTGCTAGTCACTTGCTTCTTAATTGCATATACTTTTTTGGTCTTAAATAATTAAGCTAAAACTTTGTATTACTCCTGCCGTTTATCATCAAAATGTGAATAATGGTGGAACCAGTTTAGCTTGTCTTGTTATTTGAAGGAGGGGAGCTGGGAGATAATAATGACCCCTCACACCTGTGCGAGGAGGAGTTTGCTAAGGGTAGTTCTGCCCAGTTACTGTGATCCCTGCCACAGTAACCCTGCAGGGGATTGTTCCCCATTTCACAGCAGGAGTGTGAGGCTCAGAGGGGTTCAGGTGACTGGCAAAGCAGAAACTAGACTAGGTCTCCAGTGCCTTTTCTGTTGGCATTTACTGTTATTCCACTGCACTGTCCCAGGGGACCCATTCACACTGGGACTGCTGCTGCTTCAGTGGCCTGGGACGTGCTGGACTGTCCCATAGAGAGCTCCCTGGGGCAGCTCAGGGGGAGCTTGCTGAGCTAGACCACACCTGGGCTCCAGGTGGCCCACAATGAAATGAGAGTACCAGGAAGGGAGCGGAGTGGCGGCAGGGGGGAGGATGTTTGTGGTCTCCTGCTATATGTCCGCATTCAAGTTCTGGGTAGGAGTCAGAGCGTGAGCTGTCCATCGGTGAGGGAGGTACAGTGCCCTCTGCCACCCCCTGGCCGTGGGAGTATATTCTTAGCTGACTGCCTAAGGGCCTGGGAGAGACCTTACAACCACTCAGCCTTTCTCCAGCTTGTACATTGCTCAGGAACGGGCAGGTATCAGAACAAGAACCTCTACTTGCCCTTCAGTCCTCTCGTTTTAAGCCTTCACAGGACCAAGGATGCTATGCACCCCCCCATGAGTTGGTCATCACATCTGTCAGCTGCAGCCATTTCTGAATCTCTGGCTATCCAGGAGCTCCACTGAGCTCCTTGCCAAGGTAGGTCATCCTGCCAACCTGGGGCAGACAGAGAGGCGGCAGCACCCACAGTGGGGCTGTGGCAGTAGACAGAATGAGGCGAGTGGTGGACTGAGCACTCTAGGTTCTATAAGCCCTCTCATCCCCACTCCCCTGGCACAGCTCAGCATCCTAATATCGCTTTCATCCTCTGGATCCAGGTGGTCCTTAAGGCCTGCTGAGTCTCTAAGCTACACCTCTTGAATCGGCCCCTTCCTCTCCATACTCCTGGCCTCCACTGAGGAGTGTGCCCTCATTTCCACAGCAGGATGACCAGCCTCCATAACTCTAACCTCGTCCATCTCCAGCTGTCTCATCACTTCTCTGTTCCCTAGTCTATAGGTGCTCCCTGCATCAGTCACAGCCTCAATTCCGTAGCCCATAATTCCCCAGCCCATACCTTCCCCTCCTGTCAGGTGAAGCCCCTAACTTTGTAGTACTCACCTGAGGAAAAATCCAGCTGCCATTGAGTCATTTGCAGCTCATGGCGACTGACCCCATGTGTGCCAGAGTACAATTGTGGCTGATTTTTTAGAAGCAGCTTGCCAGGCCTTACTTCTGTGGCACACTTGGGTGGACTTGAACCTCCAGCCTTTCAATTAGCAGGCGAGTACATTAACCATGTGTACCACCCAGGGATTTCACTCACCTGGGAGTGCTGTCTAAATCTAAATTGGCTCAGAGCTGCCTCTTCTAGGTCCAGCGCCCTCATCATCTACCTCACTTTCATACCCCTGCTGCTCTCACAATCTCTGCTCTGCTTTAGTGTTTACTCCAGGGCCTCAGACCGATTCAGTCATGGCCGACAAAGCGACACTGGAACAGACCTGAAGTTTTACAATTTGGGTGATCTGGAACAGAAAAATTACTGGTCGAAGCCCTGGAATGGGAGACTCGGAAGAGGCATAGTGAGCTCTTTCAGGAGCCTGATGCGTGAGATTGGATTATTCCCGGGACTGTAGAGAACACCGCAAATTCAAAGCAGTGTGGTCGGCCTCAGTCTTTAAGTGGGTTGCCACTGTTTGCCATTCTGTGCAAAATCCAGTGGGCAAGAGATTTGGTTGATATACAACATGTATGCTGCCCTTGGTTTCTAAAAAGGAGATTAAGTTTCTAGCAGGGCTTCCATCTGTAGTTTTTCCCCTTCAGGTTACCGTTCTGGTTCACCCAGATGCTAAAAATTCACGTCTGTTCTGATGTAGCTTCCTCGGCCATGACTGAACCAGGAAGAACTGGTTCAAAGCCCTGGTTTTACTCCTCACTGGAAACAGACTACATTCTTTTTTTTAAATTTTTTTTATTGTACTTTAGATGAATGTTTATAGAACAAATAGTTTCTCATGAAACAGTACACATATTGTTTTATGACATTGGTTAACAACCGACAACATGTCAACACTCCTTTCTCGACCTTGGGTTCCCTATTACCAGCTTTCCTGTTCCCTCCTGCCTTCTAGTCCTTGTCCCTGGGCTGTTGTGCCCCATTAGTCTCGTTTTGATTTATGGCAGGCTGCATTCTTGTTCACTTCACTGTGCTCAGTCATGTCTCCCCACAGTAGTCTGGAAACACCTTGAGGCCAGGTGTTCTGAGTTAGAGTTGATAAAACAGCTGGAGAATTGGGAGGAATTCAGTAACTACCAATCCCCTGAAGAGTATGAATGAGTCCAGGCTCTCAACATGCTTGTGATTCCATTGGGGAAACTGGACATCCACTCGTTGGAACAATCAGAGCAGAGCTTCCTGACCATTATCTCGTGTTAGCACACATACCACCTGATGGCGTGTCTGTGGCACACTGAGGTACACGAGAGGATTGGAAGGCCCTGCCTGAGGCTGCTCTCAGTGCAAGCAGCCAGCCCGGGAGCTCTGGCCTCGCCGGGCTTAGACACCTGTTGCTATCCTGCTGCACCCCAGGGGGCCGAGGCACAGTATGGGAGGCTGTGAATTAAGAATATACCAGTTGGTGGATAATCAGGAGTCACAGTGAATATATAATCCAGCATTAAAGTGTGTGGCACAGAGAGTACGTGCTGTAGGTGATCGGGAAAGGGGTTTGGAAGGGCTAAAGACAGGTGGATGTGGCTGGAAAAGCAGCAGGTATGAAGGAGTCCTTGGGTGGTACAAATGGTTGAGCACTCAGCTACTAACCAAAAGGCTGGAGGTTCAAACACATGTAGAGGTGCCTTGGGAGAAACGCCTGGCATTCTGCTTCTGAAAGGCCACAACCTTGAAAACCGTAAGGAGTTCTACTCTGAAGCACCTGGGGTCACCATGAGTTGGAATCGACTTGATGACAGCTGGTTTGGGTTTTTTTTTTTTTAAGCAGGTATGAGAAGGCTGTGGACAAGGTCCTTAGGCAGCTTCTGTTTCCACCAAGAAGAGCAGGAGGAATTGTTGAATAAAACTTCTGTAATGCTGAAGTACACTCCTGGTGGGCTTTGAGGCTCCTCTTCTGGAGGTGTTTTTATTTGAGGGGAGGCACACCTCTGGGCTGCCCAGGGACAGAGGAGCAGAAGCTGCCTTCCATTCCAGACTAGCTTCTGTCTGCCAAGAACACAGCTCCCTCGTGCAGTTGATCCCTTGTCCAGACTCAGCACAGACTTCTTCCCTTATATTGAGACCCAGTGTGGGCTCCTTCCCTTGCATTGACACCCAGCGCGGGCTCCTTCCCTTATGTGGAGTCCCGGTGGGCTTCTTCCCTTGCATTGAGATCCAGTTGGCCCTGTAGTGGGTTTGATGCTATTGTGAGAGGGGCGAGATAACCCAGAGGGAAGAGCCCCAGGCTGGGCATCTCACAGCCCAGCTCTGCCGCTTCAGGCTGCGTCTGTGTACTGTGAAATGGGTGACTGAAGGTTAGGCTGTCCTCATTGGACGTCAAGCAGTGAAGTCACCTTCCTGCCTCGCTGAGTTGTTGGGAGGGTTCAATGAAACAATGCCAGGAAGGCCCCCAGCCCAGAGCCGGTGGGCAGCACAGCTCCATGAGTATTTGCTGGGATATAAACTTCTTGATCACTGAGGCCAAGCTTGTGGCTGTGGGTCTGGGAGGTGACCATGACCTTGCTTCTCCCTGGCAGATGAAGTGCGTCTTGGTGGCCACTGAGGGTGCAGAGGTCCTCTTCTACTGGACAGATGAGGAGTTTGAAGAGAGTCTCCGGCTGAAGTTTGGGCAGCCAGAGAATGAGGAAGAAGAGGTGAGAGCAGGCTGGCGATGATGCCAGGAGAAGGGGAAGGAGGGGGCAGCCCAAACTACCAGAGGCAAGGAGGTAGGGGACCTGTGTTCAGTCCCTGCTGGCCCAGCCTTAGGGATTACCAGGGCCTCACACCACCAGCCGCACAGCCTCAGAGCCTGCCTCTTGACCCTCTGAGTGCAGCGGCCCTGTACCCCACACCACCAGCCTCACGTGGCTAAATGAGGGTGGGAGGAAGCCAGATTTTAATCACACACAGAGGAACTTGATGTCATCAGTTTTTCTACCTTGAAGTTTAGCATAAGCTTAACACATTAATCTTTTTTAACAGCTTTGTTAAGGTATAATGACATACTATGAACCGTGCATGTTTAGAGTGGACAGTGTGATGCTTTGATGTGTGTGCGCTTGTGTATACACACCTGTGAATTCACTGCGGCAATTATTAAAATGCACGTATCCACCGTCCCAAAAGTTTGTAATCCCTCCTCCTGCCCCTCCCTCCCACCCCCAAGCAACCTCTTATCTGCTTTCTGTCACTGTAGATTAGTTTACATTTTTTAGGCTCTTATTTATTTATTTATTTTTAACCTGCATTAATTTTATTGGGAGGAAGGCTAATCTCAATTTGAGAAAAGTTTGCATTGTAGAATATGGTTGTTGAGAATACACACAGCAGAACATACACTAATTCAACGATTTCTGCATGTACAATTCAGTGGCATTGATTACATTCTTCAAATTGTAGAACCACTCTCTCCCTCCTTTTCCAAATTGTTCCTCCCCCATTAGCAAACTCACTGCCTCTAAGTTTCCTGTCTAATCTTCCGAGTTGCTGCTGTCAGCCTGATCCCATGTAGATAGACCTTAAAAGAGCATGGTGCTCAAGGCAGACATTTTTTACTTAAGCTGAACTATTATTTGGTTTTAAGAAGACTTAGGGGATGTTTTTGGGTTAAGGTTTAAAGATTATCTCAGGGTAATAGTTTCAGGGGTTCATCCAGCCTCCATGGCTCCAGAAATTTTTAGACTTTTATGTAGGTGAAATCAGGTAGTATGTTCCTTTTGTTTGTCTGGCATCTTTCACTCAGCATAATTATTCTGAGATCTGTCCATGCAGCAGGGATCAGTAGTTCATTCCTTTTCATTGCTGAGTAGTAGTCTGTTGTATCACCAGATACAGTTTGTTGATCCTTTTACCTGTTGATGGACATCTGGATTGTTTCCAGCTTTGACTGTTACACATAAAGTCACGATGAACATTCATACACAAATCTTTGTATGGATGTGCGCTTTCTGGAGTCAGTTCCTAGGGATAGAGTGGATGGTTCATGTCGGTGTATGTTTAACTTTTTAAGAAACTGCCAAACTTTTCCAGAGTGATTGTATTGTTTTACATTCCACCAGCGGTGTGTGAGCGTTCCAGTCCCTCCAGTCTTTAATTCTAGCCGTTCTAAAAAATGAATTTTGGTTCATTATTTAATTTTTGTATATAGTATGAGGTGTAGAGCAAAGGTGTCTGAGAAGCCCTGGTGGCACTGTGGTTAAGTTCTCGGCTGCTAACAAAAGGTCAGCAGTTTGAACCCACCAGTCCTTCTGCAGGAGAAAAGACCTGGGGATCTGCTCGCTTAAAGATTACAGCCTAGGAAACCCTACGGTGCAGAATTGACTCAATGGCACACAACAGTAGGTGTCTAGTAGAGTCTCATTGTGTTTTAATTTTCATTTCCTCAATGACTAGTGATTTGAGCATATATTCATACGCGTATTTGGCATCCATATATCTTAATTGGTGAGGTGTCTATTCAGATCTTTTATCCACTTGTTATTGGATTGGTTTTTTTTTTTTAATTATTACTCTTATTTTACTGTATGGAGTTTTAAGAGTTTCTTACATATTCTGGATACAAGTTCTTTGTCTGATACATGCTTTGCAAATATTTTCTCCCAGTCTGTGGCTTGTTTTTGCATTCTTTTCACAGTCTCTTTCAAAGAACAGATGTTTTAATTGTGACAAAGTCTAATTTATCCATTTTTGTTTTTATGGATCATGCTGTTGGTGTCTTAGCGAACAAATCTTTGTCAAACCCAGGATCACAAAGATTTTTCTCTAGGTTTCTTCTGGAAGTTTTATCGTTTTAGTTTTTATATTAAGGCTAATGATCCATTTTTATTTAATTTTTGTATATGGCATGAGGTATGGACCAAAGTTCTTTTTTTTTTTGGCATCTGGACACCTGGTTTAGCACTTTAATATTACAAATCAGAAATAGTTGTCATTTTCACATATAATTTCTGCTCTATATTTTAAAGGGATAATTTATTTTGAATTTTTTTCTAGATTAATCTTTTTTTTTTTCAGAAAAGTTTTTTTTTATTGTACTTTAGATGCAGGTTTACAGAACAAGTAGTTTCTCATTAAACAGTTAGTACACATTGTTTTATGAAAATGGTTGACAACCCCACGACATGTCAACACTGTCCCTTCTCAACTTTGGGTTCCCTATTACCAGCTTTCTTGTCCCCTCCTGCCTTCTAGTCCTTGTCCCTGGACTGTTGTGCCCCATTGTAGATTAATCTTGAATTTTAAAAAAATGTTTTAATCGGGGATACAGTAGAGAGCTCTTGCCTTTCTGCAGCAGTGGGCTGGTTGCTTCTGAACGCCCTTCCTGCTCTGATGAGCCTGATCATCGGCCAAACCAGCTCTACTTCCACACGTTAATTCATCAGCGTCACTGATGTTTTTGTCACAGTCTTTAGGAGAAAAATGAGATATCAGAGATCATAGACATTCAGGTGGTTTAGTTAAGCTGAAAGACAGGTGTGTCTGTTAGGTTCTGTTATTTTTCAACAGTCAGTATACCTAATTTTTAAATTAAGAATTTTAAACTATTTCAGTTTTAAAACTATTGTTTCAACTAGATCAATTTAAGAAGCAAACTATTTGGTAACTTTCCTGTTTGGTGAAGGGATAAACTCCTGATTTTTCAGTTCCCAAATGACCAGTCTAAAGGAAAACAGTCTTTGTTAAAAGTTGTCTTTTTTATGTATACAACACTTATTTTTTTTTCCTGATTATAAGTAATAGGACTTAATTGTAGAAAATACAGAGGAATAGTTTTTGAATGAGCAATAATTCCATTCCCAAAACTGTCAGTTTTTTAATACACTTTCATCAGGTGTTTATTTTTTATACATAGTTGGGATCATTCCACATTTACAGTTTTATTCCTTAGTTTTTTCATTTACCATTCTATCAAAAGCTTCCATTTTGTTCAGTATTCTCAGAAGCATAGTTCTTAACGGAAGCATGATATTCCAGTGTATGAATGTATGTACCATCATTTTTTTTAACCATTTCCCTAATACCAAACGTGTACGTTGCCCTGGTGGCACAGCGGTTAAGCGCTTGGCTGCTAACCAAAAGGTCGACAGTTCGAACCCACCAGCTGTTCCACGGGAGAAAGATGTGACAGTCTGCTTCCGTAAAAAGTACAGCCTCGGAAACCCTATGAGGCGGTTCTACTCTATCCTGTAGGGTCGCTATGAGTCAGAATCGACTTGACAGCAAGGGGTTTAGTTTTGTTTGGTTTATATTGCTTCCAGTTTGCTATAACTATTGCTGTGTGGATCAAAATAGAATATTGAGTCATAAGCCGTTCAGACATATTGTACCACTTTGTAAATCCACCAAATAATAGATGACGATGTCCTTTACACTCTACCTACATCAGATAGTTTCATCTCCCCCCCAAAAAAATCCTTGCTACACCTCCAGAAAAAGCAGCTACTTTTAAAATGAGTTGCCGTACACAATCTAGATTTTCAAGTGACTTTTCTATTAATATAATTTGTTCATGACATTTCAGAGAACTTGTGGTGTGTGGACAATTCAGCAAACATTTGTTCTTGTCTTTATGGAGGGATATTCATTCAACAAATATTAATTGAGGACCTACTGTGTGCCCGCCTGTAGGAATAAAACAGTGAACATAGCAAGAGGGGAGACATACGGGAAACCAGATGGCAAGTAAATACCATGAGTTCCGGGAGTGATGAATGGTCTGAAGAAATGAAGGAGGCTATGACATGGGGAGGGACTGGGGTGGGAGGCCCAAGGGTGGTCGTGAAAGGAGGCATCTGCCCTTGGACCTGAACAACCAGAAGGAAGTACAGACCATGGCAGCAGGACTCAGACCACGGTTCCTGAATGTGCGAACATTGGCAAGAAAATATGCTCCATGGTGCTCTGCTGCAAATTGCCCCTGGCCAGTTCCCTATTTTTCTTTTCTAGACAAAGTCTTACTCAGCTCCTTGTAGATTTTAAGAGCTCCAAGTGAGAGCTCTGCTTTCTCCATGTTTCATTCAAGGCTCCTGAAATCAGTTTGGGGAAGGTCAGCTCTCTCCTTTCTTTCTTATTCCAGTATTGAGAATTTGAGTAATAAAGTTGCACTGGCTTTATCCCATTTTTATTCACAGATTTTTAACAGATTTGTCCAGTTCTTTTTTGGTTTTTGTTTGTTTGTCCCTTCTTTAGGACGTCATAGAGAATGGAAAAGGGAAGCTGTTATGAAAGTAAACACATGCTCATTATGAAAAATAGGAAAAGTTAGAAAAGTATAAAATCCTGGGGGGAGGGCTATCACCCATAATCCCTCTCTCCAGAAGCAATGACTTTAACAGCATTGACTTTCTTAGTATTTTTTCTGTACTTTGTTTTTTTCTACACATCTTTAAATACAGAGCATTGACAGCCATTTTTTTAAACATAACGTTGTATCAGAGGAATTTTCCATGTCATTGAAGATACTGTAATATTTTAAGTGGCTGTAGACTCATCTATCATTTAGATATACTTTTATTTGTTTAAACATTTCCCTGGTACAGGATATTTACATTTTTTTCCAGCTGTTTGCTTTATAAATTGCACTGTAGTGAACAACTTTGTGCATGAATAACTTTTTCTATGTAGATTTACTGCCCCAAAAAGCATGGATATTTTAGATACTTGGTACACACGGCAAACTTACTTAAAGTTGGCCAGTTCTCAATTAAATGCCCTCCAACATTCTGCTGTGGAACATGACTGAGTTTCTTAATGTTTTCTTCTAATTTCGGAGCCTGCGGCAGCACAGTTAGCTGGCTCACCCTTCCCAGCCTTCCTGCCCACCACCCACGGTGCTGAGGGCAGTCTCTCTTTGCCACCTTCCCTGTCAGCACAGTGCTACCCACCCAGGCTGGTCTAAAACTATGGGGCCTCTTGATGACAAGGCCGGGGTCGTGTCTGTTCCTTTGTCCCCAGTGTCCGGCACACTCTAAGCAGTGTTCTTTTCTTGCCCCTTTGCAGCTCCCTGCCCTGGAGGACAGGCTCAGCACCCTCCTTGCCCCCGTCATCATCTCCTCCATGACAATGTTGGAGAAGCTCTCAGACGCATACACCTGCTTCTCAACGGAAAATGGCAACTACCTGTATGTCCTTCACCTGGTGAGTGTGTCGCCTGGGGCCTGTCTCCCACTTTCTTTAGCCCCATGGGGAGTCCACATGCGTCTCCTGTGTCTTGGACTTTAGACTCCTTTGGAAGGCAGAAACTGCATTATCAGAATCGCCTGGGATCCCAGCCTCTCCTCACTATCCCCAGGGGGCAGGGCAGATGAAGGGAGGTCTCCAGGGTTGGCTGATACTGGCCCGGCTGTGCCTACAGTTTGGAGAATGTCTGTTCATCGCCATCAACGGAGACCACACAGAGAGCGAGGGGGATCTGCGGCGGAAGCTGTACGTGCTCAAGTACCTGGTGGAGGTGCACTTTGGCCTGATTACTGTGGACGGCCAGCTCATCCGAAAGGAGTGAGTCCTCGCGGCTGATCCCCTCTGTGCCCTTTGCTGAGCACCCGGGCAGCACATGCCCAGCCTAGGTGAAGATGCTGTTCCACACTGTGCCCCGGGCTGGGTCCCTCGGTCAGAGAAGCAGAGCTCAAAGGAACCTCGGTGATCATTTGGCCTAACCTTGTCATTTTACAGTTGGGAAAACTGAGGGCAGAGAAGTTAAATAGCTTGCCCAGGGCCATCCAGCTGGTTGGTGGCTGGCCCCAGCCTAGAGATCAGAGCTCAGGACTCCTCGTCCCTACTCCTCCTGCTCCAGCATCAGTTGTCTGTCGACACAAACCTTGCTGAGCTGGTCCTCCCGTTTCTCAGAGATGCTTTTGACTACCTCTCCAGGAAAACGCTTGTCCATGCACAGAAAATGCTTGTCCATGCACATAATCCGCGAACATTTTCTGAGGGGTCAGACCCCTAACACCCATCTCTGGGCTCACAGTAAAGACCAAAATGAAAGAATGGTGTTCAGAGTGTACACTCAGGTGAAAAGGAGCGCCGTTGAAATGTGGACTCAGAAGAGAGAGATTCATGGTGGGATCAACCTTGAGTCTCAACATGAACTGGAAAGTTGCAGAGTTGGAAACTCGGGGTCTTTTGAGCTGTAGAGACATGAGCAAGCACCCAGATCAAATTGGCAAACATTTCTTGCGCCTTTTTAGCCCAGGTAGGTGATAGTTTCAGTGCAAACACTGCAAGCAGTGCGGCGTTGGAGGTGGCTGCTGCCCTGGGCGTGGCACTGGGGGAAGTGAGAGGTATGGAAAGCTCAGTTGCCTTCCTGGCCCTCTGTAGCTGACCTTGTGTCATGTGTCTGTGAATGAGAGAGACTGAAAGTTAGTGGTTTGCCCAGGCTCAGACTCCTGGTTCTGTGCTCATCTCCCTTCACTCCATGGCCACGACCCAGCTAGAATCAGGGCCTCTGGTGGCTTGTGGGCTCCCCCAGTTACTTGGGCGTGTCCCATGGGCTCCCCCAGCTCTATAGGTGCTATGGGACTGCAGTCACTTGGGTTGGGATTGGGAGTGACCAGCTTTCTCGTGATCTCTCCTACTCATCTTGGGCTCTATCCCCAGGCTGCGGCCCCCAGACCTAGAGCGGCGCAGCCAGGTGTGGGAGCACTTCCAGAGTCTGCTGTCGACCTACAGCCGCCTGCGGGAGCAGGAACAGTGCTTCGCTGTGGAGGTGACTACCGGTGCGGTGCGGGAGCCCTTAGGCCATGGAAGTGTCAGGTCAGAGGGGGCGTACGGCTTTAAGACCATATTTGGGCCCTAATGAGTGAGGACACAGGCCAACCCTGAAATGCCTGCTTTTAAAGAGAGTGGCTCTTTCTGCTCACGTGGTGCTTTGGGTACTCTGATGGGCCCTCCCCCAATCAAACACCTAGATCCTGGATAAAAGAGACTTTTCCATGCATTTTTTTGGGTTCACAGTAAGTAACAGAAATCTCTGAAAACAGCACCCTCAGCCCTGCTTCCCCCTCCAGGAAAAAAAAAAAATTACATTGAGCTGAAACCAGAGTGGAGAGCAGTGAGGAAGCAGCAGCACTGAAGGCACGGGTGCCGAGTGCACGTGCTGATACTGATACTGCCAACAGAAAACCAAGCCTTAGGCCGGCAGGAAGGGGAGGGGGCGGCGGAACTGGGGACCCCTGCATTAAGCCCAGACCCCAGCAGTTCAAGGGGCTCTGAGTCAGAGGCACTCCCTGGCTCCCTGTATACCAAAAGAAAAAAAAAAACCCAAACTCACTGCAGTTTGACTCATAGCAACCCCATGGGATTTCCAAGACTGTAAATCTGTACAGAAGCAGACTGCCACAGTTTTCTGCCACGGAGCCGCTGGTGGTTTCGAACCACTGACCTTGCGGTCAGCAGGCGATCGCTTTAACCACTGCATCGCCAGGACTCGTGGCTCCCTGTACAGGCAAACACAAATTCTCTCTAGAGTAGTGGTTCTCACACTCCAGTGTGAGTAAGCATCCCCTGGAATGCTTGTTAAAGTTGCTGGGCCTCACCCTCAGAGCTTCTCATTTAGTAGGTCTGGAGTGGGAGCTCTAGAATTTGCACTTCTAACAAGTTCCTAGGTAATGCTAATTATGCTGGTCCAGAGCGCACACTTTCAGAATCACTGCTCTAGAGGACAGATTAATATCAAAAAAATATAAACTCACAATTAAAGAAGGTCAGATGCACAAGAAAATAAGCCACCATGAGTGAGAGTCAGCATGATCAATCATCAACAGATTTAGATCCCAAGGAACTTGGTATATCAGACTTACTAGATGCAGAATATAAAATAACTGTATGAAGTTTTCAAAGACATAAGGTAGAATCACAAAAATGAACGAATAGTAGGAAACTCAAAAATGACCAGGGCAGGTTTGAAAAAGAATACATATAGATATTTTAAAAATGAAAAACATAATCATCAAAAATGAAAAGGGATAAGTTAAACAGTACTTGAGACATAGCTAAAGAGAAAATAAACTGAAAACTTTAATCATCTGAAAAACAGATCTAAAGCGGTTCATTCTCACACTCCTCACTCATTCACTCTTCTAATAAATGTATAGTGCCTACTATGTGTCAGGTGTGCCAAGCTCTGAATTCAGAGATGAATAAAGACTAATCCGTGCCTTTGAGGTGCTTATCAGCTACTGGGGAAATCAGTACCTACTGGGGAAATTACACATATGTACTGAAAAGTACAATAAAGGGTCCTGGGTGCCATACTAGATTTCTATTCAAAAGTCATGGTGGCGCAGATGATGAAATAGTCAACTCTTTCTTAACTGTTTTCTCAACTCTTGTAGGAGGTCACCTAGTACAGTTAAAATAAGATCCAAACTCCTTCCTAAACCTACCTGTCATACTCCAGCTTCATCTCTTGCCTTTCTTTTCCTCGCTCACTATGCACTGGCTACATGGGACTTCTCTGTTTCATGAATGTGCTATGTTTGGTTCTGTCCAATATGGTAGTCACTAGTTACATGTGACTATTGAATTTCAAGCCACACTCTGTATGTGGCTAGTCCAAACTGAATTGTGCTCTAAGTGTAAAATACACGACAGATTTGTATAATTTAGTACAAAAAAATCTGAAGTAACTCATTAATAATGTTTTTATGTTATATGTTGAAATGGTAATATTTGGGGTATATTAGGTAAAATAAAATACATTATTAAAACTAATTTCACCAGTTTCTTTTTACTTTGTTAGGGTGATTTAAAAAATTTTAAATTATGCATAGGGCTCGCCTTATGTTTCAGTTGGACAGCGTTGCTCCAAACTCTCCCCACCTCAGGGCCTTTGCACATGCTGTTTTTTCAACTTGCAGTATTCTCCCTCTCCCTTTTTCTCTGGTGGGCTTTCTCATTCCTTAGGTATCACTTTTAAAGGTCACCTCCTCAGGGACACCTCTTTGACCACTTGACTGAAGTAGGCTTCTGTCATTTTTCTCTAGTTCAGTACTGTGTCTTTCCTACTTAGCACTTGTTACAGTTGGCACTTACTGTGTCTGTTTCCCATCCACTAGAGTCTATCGACCAGACCATAATCCCTAGCAAGGTGGGGACCCTGTGCTCTTAGTCTCTCTGGTACATAGTATGAGGTCAGTATAGTTTCAGGGTCTGGAGCGGGGAGAGGGTGGCCAGTGACATGGCTTCCTATCTCTGCCATCTGTGGCCAGGCTGTGGAGCGGCTGATCCACCCCCGGCTCTGTGAGCTGTGCATAGAAGCGCTGGAGCGGCATGTCATCCAGGCTGTCAACTCCAGCCCCGAGCGGGCCGGCGAGGAGGCCCTGCACGCCTTCCTGCTTGTGCACTCCAAGCTGCTGGCCCTCTACTCCAGGTGAGCCGAGGCCTGGCACCTGGTGGCCTGAGGCCCCCTGGCCTCTCACTGTTGCCCCTCCTATTCCCTTTACCCCAAAACCACTGCCTCCCCCACCAGGAAGACCTCAGGACCCATCTCTTCCATGAAGCCTTCCTAGATTCTTCACCTCTTCACCCCCTCCTGGCTCTTTCCCTTTCTCTGAAGCATTTCTTCCTGGAACACTGTTTTAGAGTCTGAATTTAGGAGAACTTCCTTATATGCTATTACTGGTTCCTGGTTGTTTCCTATTGATACATGTTTTTTAACAATCAAATTTTATTTTAAAAATTGATGGATTAATTGTATTTATTCCTTGCCTTCCTCCAAAAAGGATTAAGTCAGCTGACTTAATTTGTAAACTCTTTGAGGGTGGGGACCTTGCCTTAGATTCCTTACTCTCTCTGCCCCCGACCAGTGCCACCTCCAGGGGTGGAGGCGCCGGCACTTGCTGACTCACTGCCTGTTCTGTGTCTGCAGCCACAGCGCGAGCTCGCTGCGCCCCGCAGACCTGCTGGCCCTCATCCTCCTGGTGCAGGACCTCTACCCCAGCGAGAGCACTGTGGGGGCCGATGACGCTCAGGTCTCAGGACGGGTCCCTGGGTGGTGGAGGCCAGAGAGAGACAGCTCAGAAGCCAGCCTGGACAGTGGAGGGCAGGCTCCTGGGGGGCCATGGTTTCCACCTCACAGTTCTGGGCCTGTGGTGGGGCACAGCTTTTTCCCTGTGCTTTCAGATGTAAGGGGGATTCGGAATGCATATGGCGTAGTGCGTTAAAAGTACAGATTTGGGGAGTCAGACGGTCCTGGTTTGAAACCCAGCCTCCCCACTTAGCCAGCAGTGTGATCTGGACAAGTTCTTTCCCCTCTGAGCCTCAGTTCCCTTATCTGTTCAATGGGGATAACGATGGCATCTCCCCCTAGGGGTTGTTGGGAGGAATAAAGGGGATGACTGACGCAGAGCCTGACGTGCCTGGGATGTAGTGAGCACTCAGCATGAGCCACCACCGTCACTGTTGTCGTCCTTGTCATCCTCATCAGTTGTAGTGGAATCAGAAATCCCAGTGTGCTGGAATTTCTGGAATCTCAGTGGTTCTGGATAAAAAAATACACCACCTAGGATGGAAACATGCTGGAAAGTGAGAACCACGCACAGGGCCCCGCAGTGGGGCGGGGTGGAGGGCTGAAGGGCCCTGCTGGCTCTGCTGTGAGGGCTCTTCTGTGAAGTGCTGGAAGGGGCCAGGTAGAGTGCTCTAACAAGTGTCTTCCCTGCCTCATCACAGCCTTCCCCACAAAGGCCCTGGAGCAGCCAGAACATTCCCGTGCAGCAGCCCTGGGGCCCTGGCTCCGTCCGCCAGGCCAGGAGGAGTTCTACAGAGACGGTGTGTGCTGTGCTTGCGGGGAGGAACGACCTGGCTCACCTGTGTGGCCAGGCCCTTCCCAGGAAAGCAGGGTCCGGGGGTGAGCCAGCCTGGCGATCCTCTCCAGGCCCTCAGCCTGAGCTGCTCTCTTCTCCCTCCAGGAGACAGACAGCTTCTGCTTCCCTGAGGAGTACTTTACACCGGCTCCTTCCCCCAGCGAGCAGAGCTCAGGTGAGGCCTGGGGGTCAGTAGGCAAGGTGGGCCAGATGCCAGTTAGCCCCAGGGATTCTGTCTCGGGGTTCAGTGGACCCCCACACCTTGTCAGGTCCTGGGCACAGACACCCAAATTCTGAAGGGTTTTTTTTCTCCCCAGAGCATAGGACGCTGACTCCAGCTTCCCCTCTGTTGTCTCTGCTAGCTCCAGCTTGAACTCAAGGACTGTTGAGACCGCTCAGATGTTTCCCAAGGCTTTTTATGACAAATCGGTTCCATTTTAAAATTCATTTGTCATGTGTGTGTTCTCTGCCTCATCTTTGTTTTTGTAATTAATAGGCAAAATTAAACAATATCATTTGATTTGAAGTACATTTTTTAAAATATAAATATCCAGTCTCCATAGTTTATAGCTTAGGAGCCCTGGTGGCGCAGTGGTTAAGTGCTCGGCTGCTAACTGAAGAGGCATCAGTTCAAACCCACCAGCCACTCTGCGGGAGAAAGATGTGGCAGTCTGCTTCTGGAAAGATTTACAGCCTTGGAAACCCTGTGGGGCAGTTCTGTTCCGACCTGTAGGGTCACTATGAATTGGAATCGACGCAACAGTGTTGGGTTATAGTTTATTTATATCTTATCTATTTTTCCACAGTTTGTGGATATACAATAAAAAGAGATTAAAAATATATTTAATGTTATTAACGGAAAAATAGACAGCATTGCTTGGCAAATAGATAAGCCAAAACCCAGACTACTGTAGTCATTATGAGTGAGCAGCCTTCAATGTCTTTCTTCTTTTCTTGAGAGAAAGAACGGGTTATATGGTTTGCATCATCTAATAGGAGGAAGAAGGCCAGGGTTTCAGGAGGAGAAACACCTTGGGGAAATTGACTGTGTGGCCCCCTTAAACCAGTGGTTCTCAGCCCTGGCCACACATTGGAATCACCAGGAGAGTCAGCCAGACCAGTTCAGTTATAGCCGCCGCACCTGGGGCCCAGGTGTGAATACTTCTGAAAACTCCCCCAGGTGAGTCCAGAGCAGTCAGGGTGGGACCTGCCTCTCTGCACAGATTTGAGCTGGAGCTGCAGTTAGACTCACTTGGGGAACTTTCAAAATACTGAAGCTGGGCCTGTGCCCGGAGATTCTGACTTAATTGGTCCGAGATGTGGCCTGGGCAGCAAGGGTTTTCAAAGGTCCCCAAATGATTCTCATGTGCAGCCAAGGTGGAAAACCACTGGGCTAGACGTTCTTCACTTGCGGTCCTTGGACAGGCTTCAGGGAGCCTGGGATAGCTGAGATTGGGCACCACGTCATACATGCTTGCCCGGAGCTTTCCTCCGATTCTCCAAGTACTCATGAGCCCAAAACACGGTGCATTTGGGTGATCTCTGAAGTTCCTTCTGCTGCTTCTTACTGCTCCCTTCCCTCATTCATCACCATCGTCTTCCTGCCGCTGTGTCTCTCAGTGGTTAGTTTCCTCTACCTGCGAGCTGTAAATAATGGTGAAACTCACAACTTGGAAATGGTGGAAGCTGCGCTCATCCATTTGTAAATCGGGTGTTTGAAACTCAGGAACAGTTTCCCCGGAGAAACATGGTTATAAATGATGATTATTTGCAGTGAAATATAAGAGAACAACATTACTACAAGCATATAATATTTCAAATATGTAATGGTTTCAGTAGGTTTTTGGTGAGCTATCCAAAAAAAATCCGAATCTATTGCTGTTGAGTCCATTCTGACTCATAGCAACCCTATAGGGCAGAGTAGAACTGCCCCATAGGGGGAGCAGCCGGTGGATTTGAACTGCGGACCTCTTGATTAGCAGCTGAGCTCTTAACCACTGTGCACCACCAGGGCTCCACATGAGCTATAGTAGGTGGTAAATCTAGCTCAATTCCTAGCACCTAGTAGGTGCTTAGTGAAGGTTTGCTGATTGAACAAATTAATGGGGGAAATGTAGACTGTGTGCTGCCTCCTGGGCCCTCCTCTATTATACCTTCACTGTGGAGTCCCTGAAGGAGCCTTGGTGGCACAGTGGTTTAATGCTCGGCTGCTAACTGAAAGGATGGAGGTTGGATCCCACCCAGAGGTGCCTTGGAAGAAAGGCCTGGTGATATATTTCAAAAAAACCAGTCGTTGAAAACCCCATGGAGCACAGTTCTGCTCTGACACACATGGTGTCATGAGTCAGAATCAACTCAACAGCATCTGCTATTATAGCCAGGGAAGGGCCTGAAGGAATAGCGAGGACGGGAATACGGAGGAGATTAAAGGGGTTGAAGCAGGGGTTCTGAGGGAAATGGCGATACCACCACTCCCACCCTTGTTTCCTGTTACATCTTTAGGAGCTCGATTCCCAGCTCCTGGCTCTGGGGGAAGCTTCTCTTCCCCAGACCCAGGCTGCTTTGCCCGTGGCTACTATGCACTGTAAAGCTCTCCAGCACGTGTGCTGCACCTTCCCGCACTGAAGTGCCTCTCTCCCTGCCTGTGCTTCAGGACTGACTGATGGGGGTCCCTTCTATCTCCACCCCTCCCATTCTGACACCCCACTGTTTACATTGTCATTGCCTGTGGCCTGCAGGTAGCATTGTCTGGCTGGATGAGGGCACCCCACCCACTGATACCTACCAGATCCAGGTGAGTGTCTCCTGGGGGAAGGGAAGCTCCGCCTTCACTGGCTGATTGGAGAGGTTGCTGCAAGCACTGGGGACTCAGGGCTTTGCATCCAGGGGGCTCCACCAGGGCCAGCCTTCCTCCTGCCCCACAGGGTCGGTCATTGCAGGGGTGGGGGAAGTGTGAAGGGTGACTTTACCCCATACCCTCCCCCAGGTGCCGGGCCTCACTCCTGATAAATCCCACCCTTCTCACTATTCTTAAGAGAGAAAGTGCAGCTTAATTTTTAATGTTTTTGTAAGTGAGAAAATAAAAGTATTCATTGTAGAAAAATTAGAAAATAACAACAGTATGGAAAAGAGAATAAAAATTCCTCTCAATCCCAACCCTGGATGTTAACTACTATAAATATTTTTGGGTGTTTCTTTCTAGTCTTTTTTCCTATTATATGTACATTTATGAATTCTTTTTTAACCAAAGTTGGATCTTAATGAAATTCATTATACTTTTTTCTTTAATCGTTTTCCCATTTACTAAGCATTTTTCAACAGCATGGTTTTTAATAATTATGCAATAGTCCATCACGTGGGTGTGTTTTTTTTTTTTCAGCAACCTCCCAGAGTTGACTAGGACGTTGTTTTCAGTTTTTACTGTTAAATATAACACTTCAGTGACATCCTTATATAGAAATCTTTGTGCCATCTTTAATGATTTCCTTAATTCTCTAAGTTTTCCCACTAAAGGCTTTCTTACTCAGAGCCCTCCCTGAGGTTGGAGTCTTGCTCAGTTAGGCACTTTATGCCTCAGTTTCCCCACCTGGACAGTTTGAACGGTTGTTAGGATGTTGTGAGAGGGACTGAAATGACAGAACGTTCTTTAATTTAAATAAACGTTATTTAAATACCTTCATCTAATTGAAGGCGTGATGAGGGCGTCTCCTCTTCCTGTTCCACTGCTGTCTATTGTTCCTGCCGTTTTGGTCCCTTCTTTACCACCCACTCCCAGCTCCTATTCCCTATCCCACTTGGCATTCATCCCTGACTCTGAGGCGGAAAGGCCTAGAAGAAGCTGAGAGACAGCAGCAGAGCTGGGGCTGCTAGGGCGGTTGCAGCAAGAGTGTAGGGATTGAAGACCTGGGATTCTCTGGAGTAAAAATCTGTGTTCCTTCATGGTTCAGAGGGAGGACAGCACATGGGCAACTGTGGGTAAGTCCGACCTGGGGAGAGGCCAGGTGGCCCTTCCCTCCTTACCTACCACTCCCTGCCAGCTCCTTCTTCCTTGTAGGTAGCCGAAGACACTCTGCAGATGCTAGTTCCTCACTCCCCAACAGCGTCCAGCCCCAGAAGGATCTTCCTGGACGCCAGCATAAAAGAGAGCTACTGCCCCTTGGTGCCCCACACCTTTTACTGCCTGCCCCTGTGGCCGGGCATCAACATGGTGCTCCTGACCAAGGTATCAGGGTCCTCACCCTGCCCTGGCAACCCCAGGGCCTGAACACCATCTCCACCACTGCCCTATCCCACCTGACACTGCTTTCTGCCTAGAGCCCCAGTGCCCCCCTGGCCCTGGTCCTCTACCAGCTGCTGGATGGGTTTTCCCTGTTGGAGAAAAAGCTGAAGGAGGGGCATGAGGCCGGAGGTACCCTGCGGTCCCACCCCCTCGTGGCAGACCTGCGCCAGAGGATGGACAAGTTTGTCAAGAATCGAGGGGGCCAGGAGATTCAGGTGAGACCTGGGTCCTGGGATGTGCCCAGCCTTGGAGGAGAAGAGGCAGCAGTGGGGCAGCAGGTCCCTTGGGCCACAGATTAGGGGCCAAAGATTCCAGACACTGTCTCTGCTCCGCCACTGATCTCTGAGCCTGTCGTCCCCTTTTCTGAGAGGAGAATAACAAAACCTTACGTTGTTGTTAGTTGCCATCCAGTTGGTTCTGACTCTTCGTGACCCCACGGTTTTCTTAGTAATCTTTACAGAAACAGATCGCCAGGCCTTTTCTTCCACAGTACTGCTGAATGGGTTCAAATAGCCAACCTTTAGGTCAGCAGCTGAGCACAAACCATTTGTGCCACCTAGACTGCAGAACACTTTCACATGAGTTTGACAGAACACGAGTTGTAATTTCCATTTTATAGACGGCGAAATGGGCTTAGACAAATCATAACTTGGCTAAGATTACTCAGCTCATGAACTGTGGGGCCAGAACCTGAATCCTGACTCTGGCCTTAGGCCAGTGATCCATCCATCACACCTGACAACGGGTGTCCACCTGTGGTATGACTGGTGCACCGGGGCATGGGGAGGACACACACACACAAGCAGAGACAGCCCCTGGCCCCGGGAGCTCCGAGCCAGTGGGGAGGTGAGACCAGGAGACGGAGCAGACGTGAGCAGTAGAAAACAGTACATCACAGCACAGTCTGGATCGAAGCCTAGAACCAAGTCCAGAGAACAGGAGGCAGACCACCCAGGTCTAAGCAGCTGGGGGCAGCATCGTGCACCTGACAGGGCTCGAGTCTGTTTGAGGAACTGCGAGTTCTTGTGGCTGCAGTACAGACTGGTCTGAAATAAGCAGAAGGATTGGAGGAAGCAGAGCAAGCAGTCAACCCCAAGGCCCCGGGTCCTCTTTTTTTGAGAAGCCAAGCAGCTCAGTGTTCCGCAGGGCCTCGGGGCATCACACATGCAAAGTTCTCGTCCTCTAAGGAGATCCTGCGCAGGCCCTCAAAGCCTTGATGCCATCCCTGAGTCCCACAGCGGCAGCTGCCCATCCTGTGTCCCAGCCCCCTGCACCATGCTCGCCCTCCCTGGAGGCACTTCCCTCTGCACCCCGATCTTGTCACCTTCTAGACAGAGAGTCACGGTGTCTAACACAGTGCCGGGCACCCAGGAACTGCTCTTTAAGAGCAGTAAGAGTGACTAGTGTGCCATTCGCAGCGGTGGGCAGGGTGCTGATGGGCCTGCCTGAGAGGCCAGCGTGGGCAGAATGAAGGCAGACTCATGCCGAGCCTAGACGCTGAAGCCACTGGGTGCCTGCTCAGCCCCAGCATGGGAAGGGGTCTCCCTGGGGCTTTACTGCTGGAACATTGTCAGGCAGCCACCATGTCACCTGTTCTCCTTACAGAGCACCTGGCTGGAGTTGAAGACCAAGGCCTTCTCCAGAAGTGAGCCAGGCTCGTCCTGGGAGTAAGTAGTGGCCCTGAGGACAGAGGGTGTGTCCTTCCCCATGCCAAGAGGGAGAGAATGCTCCAGAAGGAGCTTCTGCATGAAGGGGGTGGGGGGAGCTGAGGGGCCTGAGGGGCCAGTTGTGAAGGCCCAACACTGCGGAGAAAGACCTGCCTTAGTGCTGACTTGGATATGGCCTCAAGCAAGGTACTTCCCCTCGTTTATTGGTAAAATGATGAGGTGGTAAAGAGATTTAATTCCACTTGCGTGGAGCATCATGCTGGGAAAAATTGGGAGCTGCTTCCCAGCTCCACGCAGGCGAGTGGTGTTTGATCAGCTCTGTATCACGGTGCAGAAGCAGGGGGTGGCTACATCATGGGGATGGAGCACTCCCAGGCTTCGTCCGCCTGTGATGCTCTTACCCCCGGGGCCAGGCTGCTCCAAGCATGCGGGAAGGTGAAGCAGCAGCTCTGCGCCATCTACCGCCTCAGCCTCTTGAGCACAGCACCAAGCCGGGGCGGCCCCCACCTGCCCCAGCACCTCCAGGACCAAGCCCGAAAGCTCATGCAGTAAGTATGGTGTGGCCGTCTGACCACCTGAGGCAGCATTGGGGACATGGCTCACAGTGGCCTGTGCTTCCCCTGCAGAGAAAAGCTGGCAGACTGGAAGGACTTTTTGTTAGTGAAGAGCCGGCGGAACATCACCATGGTGTCATATCCTGCTGCCCGAGCCCCAAACCTGCAGCATCAGATGCCCCTTCCACCTGCCCTCTCTGAAGGACCTCGGGGACTGGGGGAAGGGAGAATACATGCTCAGTCTCCTCTGCTTCTTTTCTCGGAAGCAAACTAACAGAGGGTGGTGTCCCAGGAACCTTGTCTGTAGGAGTGTTCCAAGGCTGATGTCAGAGTTCTGCTGTCCCAAAAGTAGTTCATAAAAGCCTTAGAGATCCCTTACGTCAGTGTTTCCCAACCAGCAGAAAGGTAATAGGCTTTGCTCGTGGGTGGTGGTGGTGGCGGGCTTTCTGTGGTCTGGGGGTTTGAGAGCCATCTCCTTACTAGAGCAGCGCTGTGCGCTTGCCAAGACTCTGGGAAGTCCTGCGGTAAATAACGCTCATCCTGTTCATAAAACCATTCCCAAGCTTATTTGACCCTTTCTTTCTGGAACGCTAGTTTTATTGAATACTAATTTTCCATGGAACTTTCTATAAAGCAGCTTTTCCTGTATTCACATCTCTGAAGGGTCAGGCCTTAAGTCCCCTGTGAGTTGTGTCTTCAGTAGGGCAGGTGAAAGGGATGCCCGAGGGTCTCTAAGCCATCAGCCACTGCCCTTCCATGGGTGTCTGCTCCTCCCCCTCAAATGGAAGCCTTCTGACCTCTCAAGATGAAGGGTAGCGATGAACAAATTGTGGTGAGGTTTGGAGGCTGGGTGGCCTCCCAGGCTCACTCATTAGCTTCGTGGCTATGCTGTCACATCAGCCTTACAGTGTGTACGATTCAAGTTCATCCCACGTTCCTGCAGGGTCCAGAAATGCCCATGTTAAGTGCACAGATGTCAAGGATCTATTGTACTTGAGTCTTAGGACTTCTCAAGGCCGGGAAGTTGGGAGGTGACGAGAGACCCTGGAGAGCAGGGAGGCTGGGAGGTTGGGTGGAATGGAACCCTATGGGGAAGGGCAGATGTGGCGCACCTGGCCCTCCTGACCCCACTGCCTAGTAGGACTGGCAGCCTAAAACAAGGACAGAGCACGCTCTCCCTGGTTCCTGGCTTTGTAAACACCTTAACTGAGACCTCACATACCTAGAAGACTTCCCAGGTTTGGTGCATTTCATTTACGTGGACCGCACGACTGGGCAGATGGTGGCTCCTTCCCTCAGCATCCATGACAAGACTACTTCAGAGTTGGGCAAGGGGCCTCTGGCTGCCTTCGTCAAAACCAAGGTAACCTCTCCCCTGGCTGGGCCCTCTTCACTGCCCAGCAGATGGGACATGGTGAGGCCTGCACCTGCCGGGGAAGAACTAGCCCCTTTGTCCTCTGGGTTCCCATGAGGCTCTGATCACACGCCCATTAACCCTTGCTGCAATCTTCTCTCATTGTGTGCATCCAGTCAGACTGCAAACACCTCAGGAATAGCGACTGTGTTCTTGGCCTTCAGGGCACAGTACCTGGGGCCCAGTGGGCCTCAGTGGAGGTTGAGGATGTGCTTAGGATTGGCAGAGTGTTCTGGGCGGCAGGGTCAGAGGAGGAAATGGCTAGTACCTAGCATAGTGCCTGGCATAAATAAATGCTTACGGAAGTTTTTTAGAATTTACTAAAATGGAAAGAAGAAATTGCTGTGGGTATCAGAATTTAAAACCGGTTTTTACTAAGGAAGCCTTCTCTAGGGGGTTTTATTCTCCTAATTTAATTGACTCATCTTCATGGGAAAATAGTATTTTTGGTCGCTGGGGGTGCCCTTTGTCACTTCGTTAAAAACTGTATAGATCTAACTATACGTATACATACGTTATATATATATGTATATAAATACCCATGCCATCAAGTCACTTCTGACTCATAGCAACCCTATAGGACAGAGTAGAACTGCCCCATAGGGCATTATAAGGAGCCCTGGTGACATAGTAGTTAAGTGCTCGGCTGATAACCGTAAGGTCAGCGGTTTCAACCCACCAGCTACTCCATGGGAGAAAGATGTGGCAGTCTGCTTCTATAAAGATTACAGCTTTGGAAACCCTACGAGGCAGTTCTACTTTGTCCTATAGGGTTGCTGTGAGTCATAAATGACAGCAACGGGCTATATTTATGCGTGCGTGCGTGCGTGCCTGCGTGCCTGCGTGCGTGTGTGTCACTGTTAATCAAAAGGTTGTCAATTCAAACCCACCCAGTGGCTCCACAGGAGAAAGACATGGCAGTCTGCTCCTGTAAAGATCACAGCCTAGAAAGCCCTATGGAGCAGTTCTGCTCTGTCACATGAGGTCATTATGCATTGAAATCCGTAGTACCTAGCACAACACACATACATACATACAGTGAAACCTGTGATACTGGAACTTGATGGGGCTGCCTTGTTTTCTCAGGTCTTCCAAGGTTTCCAGCTTTGACAGGGTGTAACAGTCTTACCACTTTTCTGTCTATTAGGGGAAAATATATAGGTATTTGAGTTTTCCTTCTCTGACAGGTTTCCACCTTACAGGTTCCAGCTTTTGTAGGTTTTAATGTACGTTGTTCTTAGGTAATTATTATATTATGTTGTTAGGTTATGTAAGTATAATTATTATATATTTTTTCCAATACAGTGTGTCATTATGGTTAAAATAAGACGAGTGACAGATGCCTGCGTCTGAAGCCCAGCTCTGCCACTCGTTAGCCGTGTGGCCTTGGGCATTGCTTGGTCTAAGTGTCAGTTTCCTCATCTGAGAAAGGGGCAGCCACACTATTTGCAGCATAGAACGATGGTGAAGATTACATGCGATGGTGTCTGTAAAATGTTGAGCACGGTGTGGAGAGCATAATACCAGTGCCGTTCATGGACCGCTTACCGATGCCGTCATCCTCGCCATCTTCACCTCCCCTTCCCGGCTGGTCGCTTTGGCATCCTGGCACGTTTCTTTTCATTGCTTTTTTGTGCACAGTTCTCTAGTCGAGGTCATCTTGTATACGCAGTTACGTTTACCACATTTTCACCTCACGTGTCGTGTATTTCCTCACGTCATTAATTGTTTATAAATGGGATTTTTAACAGCTCCGTAATAGTCCATCAGGTGAACGTCACATAATTCACTTCCCCATTTCCCAGTGTCGAGCATGTAGTTGTCTCCAGCTTTCACTATGATTAATAATTCTGCAGCGCACACCTTTGTGCATCCGTCTTTGTCCTCATCTCCGATTATTTCCTCAGTATGGATTCCCAGAAATGGAATTGCTAAGTCAGACGGGAGGAATGTTTTTACAGTTATTAATGCATGTTGTCAAACTGCTTTCCTGAAAAGTATAGCAAACCTATGTATCTGTTGCCAGATTTAATTAGATATTACCTTGTGATCAGGTGTAGCAGGAATCATGCCTTCTTCCGTCCACTAAGCTTTTTGGTGAGAGGCTCATCTGTCTGCTCCCAGCCCCTGGGAAAAGGGGAAAGCCGGAGCAGTCCCTGCTGCCTTCCCTCAGGCAGTCCACAGGCAGCATCCGGAGGGCCTTGCATGACGCAAGAGAAGGTCGCGGAGAGGATCTAAGACACCTTCTCCTGCGGGTCCCCTCCAGCCTTGCTGTGCCCTAGCTTGGACCTCACCCTAGAGCAGGGAACGTGCCTCTGAGTTTGGACATGGTTTACCATCACCTTCCTGTCACAGAACCAGAGGTGACCCTGGACAACAGGAGGGGCCTCTAGGTGGCCACACCTTGATCTCCTACAGTGTTAAAATGCCCCTGGCTGTTTCCTAGCTTGGATGACTGATTAATTTATGGCTCAAGTGTAGCATGTTAAAGTCATGTAGTGTCTCTACATATGTTTATGTGTGTGTGTGGCGCAGCGGTGAAGAGCTTGGCTAAGCAAAAGATCGGCAGTTCCACTCCACCAGCCGCTCCTTGGATACCCTATGGGGCAGTTCTGCTCTGTCCTGTAGGGTCGCTGTGAGTCGGAACCGACTCGACAGCACGTAACAACAACATATATTTGTCCTCCCGGTGACTCTGTGAAGGGCAGTCCATCCATCCATGCAGTAGAGATTTATTTCAGTCTTCTACTCTGAGCCAAGGCAGTGCCCCAGGCACTAAGGAAGCAGATGAGCCAGAGAGGCCCCTGGCCTCAGGGAGCTCCTCACCCAGGTGTTTTTCTTCTTCCCTGTCAGTCTCAGCGATGTCCGGAGGTGGGAGCCCAGTGCTGCCCCTGTAATAGGGCAGGCCATGAGGGTGGGGGTGAACACTCTCTCCCTCCTTTCCCCAGGTCTGGTCTCTGATCCGGCTGGCACGCAGATACCTCCAGAAGGGCTACACCACCCTGCTGTTCCGGGAGGGGGACTTCTACTGCTCCTATTTCCTGTGGTTCGAAAACGAGATGGTGGGTGCGCCCAGGTCCCAGGGCAGGACACGCCTGCAGTGCTTTCTTTTCTTGTAACTCTTGGCTTCTCGTCTTCTGAATCATGTCAGGCTGTCTCTTCACCTCTTCTTGTCCCTGGTGTAAGGAAGGACAGGTAAACACAGCTGGTTGGGACCCAGAACTCACAGGTCCCATTCTCATGTGGGCCATTTAGCTTTGCTCTGTGATCCCTCTATCCAGCTGCCTGACAAAATCACGCCATTGTTCAAGGCAGCGTCCAGGTAGACGTGTGAACAGATAAACGGATGCCCCAGTGGGAGAAAGGCCCCTCAGATCACAAGCTTCATGAGTAGTGCCTCAACACCATCAGTTCATGCATAAGGCACAGCACGCTGCCATTCCCGTTGTATAGGTGGATAAACCGAGGTGCAAAGCAGTTACCCAGCCTGCCCAACGAAAAGCTGAAAGTATGGCTCAGGTCTCTTGCCTCGTGTCTGTACTTCTTTCTCTAGACTTCACCGTTCTTACGCTGTAAACAGGTAATGGGGGTTTACTGTCTTATGTCTTCTCTTTCTTTCTGTTTTCTCCTCAGCTGACTGTTCAGCTCTCTAAGGATCGTACTTTCTACCCCTCACATTTGCTTGGTCCCGTATCCCTG